CCACATTGAAATCCAGGGTACGCCGGCCAACCACAGCCTACACCACTAGAGGTTATAATACCCCACCTTGCCAACACGAACCAGACCAATCATATAATTGTTACCGAAAAGTTCTCGATGTATGCTATACCATGTTTATGCTACTGTATGTAACACCTGAAACCCTCAAGCTTGTTAAAACATATAACCAACTCTGGAATAAGTTGATTTATATTTAAAACATTGTAAAGTGCAAAGTTAAACAATAAAAAATAAATAAATAAGTGTGGCTGCGTATAATATGGAAGAGGTGAATTACGGTTGAACAGACATATAGCGCAAATTCCACATTTTGTTTACGTTTTGTTTTGATCAGAACTTGTGCAATTACTGCTGTCCTTAAGGGGTTAATAAAATTAGGATTATTTCTATGTCTAGGCTAGAATAATCTGCAATTTGATAACTATGCTACACTTATGGAAACATAATGAGCAGAAAAACAATCAAAATGCAGGGATTAAAATCACAGCTATAATGCAGGTGCATTATAAGTTAAATGCACTAACACCTTGTAATTTTTTTTGATGAAACTTTAAGATTCTTGAACTATCAAAGCTGGATATCTAATTCAAACACACTGCTGGACATTAAAGCTTCAAAAAATGGGGAATACTGAGCATGTCTGAGGTGCTCTCTGATTGGACAGATTTCAAAAGTAACCTAAATTATACTCATGCTCAGTTACCCTCAACAGCAATCCAGACTGTCGTATTCATTATCAGCGAGTCATTTTGTACTGTAGTGGAAGAATGTTAGGGAAAATTTTACATTTACAATGGAAATTTGCAAGTTAACACTTTTCCATAGGAAACCAATGTCTTTTTCCAAATGCAATATAGATTTTTTTTATTATGACAGTTATATGGTGGGTCACTGCTCTGGTGCTCATATGAACCAGCCTTCACTGGCATATGTGTACATTCATGTGAAATAAACAATATAGTGCTCACTGTTATTTTATATGGAATTAAAAAAGTAGAGGTACTCACAAATATAGAGTAAAAAAAGGTTTTGCTCAATCCACTGTGTTTAAGTGGTATTTTCCACACCAAAGGAATGTGTGGTCCTATGAGAAATCAAGATGAAGTCCAGAAAGCTTATCAAATCAACTACTTTATGTGATAAACTAGTACATAAAATAATAAAAGCAGTACAAAATAGTAAAATACACTTAATGCATTTCACCAGTAAAAAGGCTTTTTCAAAAGTGTTGAAACACGCGTTAAGTGTGTTTTACTACCCTATTTACTCGATTATAGGACAAGGTTTTCTTCAGAAAAAAATGTCTGAAAAAACAACCTTGTCTTATAATCAAGGTCGTCTTTTAATCATACCTCAAATCAGTCCCACTGAAACTGTACCCCCCGTAATCTCTGGGTACCACTGAGCAAGGGGTGGTGCCAATTGCCAGCATACTCTCGTATGGCACGCCGGGCTCAGGGGGCGCATGGCAGAATCACAGGGAGAGCAGCAGGAGGAGGGTGAATGAGACACATTGAAGGGCTGGGGGGGAATGAGACACATGGAATTCTCAGGGCTTCTCAGGGAGGCCAAGCATTATCAGGAATGACAACTTCTATGAAGTTTTTTAGGCTGGCATGCAGCGTACACAGAGCGAAGAACAGTAGTAGCCAGTTGGAAAGCTGGAAGCCTAGGAGGACGAATAGGGCAAAGTATAATGAAATGCCCTCTTTCTCCACAATAGAAACATAGGCCATGGCTGCGCCTCCAGTCTCTTTCCTCACGCGTCACCTTGCAGTGGATGAGTCCTATTTGCATAGGTTCCTCAGCGTCAAGAGGGACATAGGATACCTCTGGAGTTTTCCTAGGAACTGGATCATAAGTAGGCAACACAGGGGGTGTAGTGCTGGTACTGGTTCTCCTTGTTTCTAGGAATCTGGGATCCTCAGGGACGTGGAGCAGGCAGTAATGAAAGATTCCCAACTGTCAAGGACAGGACTCTTCGTCTGTAACATCTGGTGAGCCCATTTTTTGATGCGTCAAGACAACAGGTTGATAACCGCTTGAACCATGATGAAATCCGTGGCATATGTCCAAGGCTTTAAAGAAAACAACACCTCACAATCCACCTTGAAGGACTGAAAGGACGTGCGGCTACCATCAAATCGCTTGGGCATTATGATAAATGGTTCAGGATAAGCAGGTTCCGGGGCTGGGTGCACTGTGCCTTTAAGAGTCACGATTTCTCGCTGCAACTCCGAAACGATCTGGGCCAGGCTGGACACTTGCTGGGTAAGCTGCCTGCACATGTCTGTGGACTCAATATTGATCAAATCTTCTTTTGTCAGGAATCTTACCTGAGTTGATCCAGGTCACAGGGCGAGGCTGAGTTTATATACCCTACTGATATCTGATCAGGGTCAGGTGAAGCACAGCAATGTCAAGGTCCAGCCCCCAGTGCTGCAGACAAGCCAGGATGAACAGGACTGGAATTGCTAGCAGATAAACAAAGCTGCTGTGGCTCAACGGTAGAAAACAAACCAAGGACTGCCAAGTTCCCAGGTTCAAATCCCTTGTTGGGCACCTCTGGGGTGACCATGTCTGGATATCATGGTGAGAACTCTAACAGCAACACACAGAGGGGCTGAGTCATAAAGACACACAGAAGGGCTTGGGGGACCAGGGCTGCTATCACAGCTCAAGGTCTGGGCCCCCCTTCAAGCCTGCCCACAGGGCCTGCCTCCAAATCCCGCCCACAAGAATACACACTAACAGATACAAATACTGAAACAGACATACATGCATAGGGAGATACTGGCATACACACATTTTCAGCCTTACCATTTTGTCGCAGGAGGGTGGCTGGGGATGATTTGAGTTGGCTGCCTCTCCTCCTTCCTGCGTGGAGTAAACTGGGAGGAAGTGACCGTCACTTACATGCAGCAGTGCTTGCTTTCCGGGTGCATTTTTTTTTTTTTTTAAAGGGGCCCAGTCGCGCTATTACAGCGCTGACCGGGCCCCTGAAGATAATAGGGCCACCTGATGGGCCCCATCAGCATGTGGGCCCCGGTGCAGATGCAGCGGCGGCAGTTCCGCTGATACACGTGGGGCATGGTTGTCACCCCTTGATGGCGGCCCTGTGGGGGACAAAGACACACACAGAGGGGATGGGGGGGCTACCATAGGGTAGACATATTCAGCCACTTTCTTTCTTTTTTTTTCAACAAGATCCAAAATTTGAGGGGGGGGGGCACCTTTTAATCAGGGAAGTCTTTTAATCGAGCAAATACAATATTTTGTACTGCTTTTTTTATTTTATGCACTTGTTTATCAAATAAAAGTTGTTAATTTGGACAGGAAAATCCAAACATACTTCATAGTATTCAACAATGTCTGGATTTTTCAATTCTGAGCCAGATTTGTGTCTGTCCCAATATCAGTCAGACTTGAATGCCACCAAACAGTAGAAATATAGATGCTTATTAAAAAAAATTATTTAAATTATATTTGTTTTACATTATATTCTGCCTTCTCAATGCAGTAGTACAGTGACATTGGGCACCAATGATTGGCTGAGGGTGTCAAATAATGCTCTCAGGCTGCCAATTTAAAGTAGTCTGCGGGGCTAGAGTTCACTCTCGCGAGATCTGAGCATTGCGGCAACGCTCAGATCTTGCGAGAGGAACCCAGCTGAGCTGCTGGCTAGAGCTCCCGGGGTCCTCTCCTGCCTCCCTCCCTGCTGCTGCTGACTCCTATGACTCCTGAACTGATCTGGGTGATTTTTGGATATGTTGGTCACCCAGATCGGGGCTATCTGGGGATGTGACTTTTGTGGGGTTTTCATGTATGTTATGTGTATTTTGGGGTGTTTTATAAATTGTTATATTTTCTCTCCCTGAGAAATAATTAAATTGTAAGTGTTTGCTCAGGTAATTATCTCTCAGGCACAGAGGATCATGGGAGGGATTTCCCTGTAATGTTGGATTGGAAACCCCCTTGTAGGGGCTATTGCATAAAAGCCGTGTGTGTTCTAAAAAAATTGTAGATTATGCTAGCTTTAGTGTACCTATAATCTTAATTTTATTAATGACAGGAGGCGAGTATTTGCTTTAGTCTCTCTTTACTAGAACTCCACAGCAGCACAGAAAAAAAAACAATCAGAAAAAAGTTAGGTACTATAAAACCCCCTTCCCATTGCGTCATTTCCTCTTTAAAGCTGCGATAAAACAGAACAAAGGCAGAAAAAATAATGGGAAGCAACAAAGTCCAGATACAAAGAATACAGCAATGTCCAACGTCTGAGAAGAACTGTCAACCAGATAGTGTTGATGGACTGAAAATAAATAAGTCAATGTCCACCATCCACGAAGAAGCGCCACACCAGATAGCGCTGAAGGACTGGAAACTGAAACAAGAGAAAAACAGAATCGAACAGGTTGATTATCCAATGAAATGTATTTTGAATAAACTTGTAGATACCCAATGTAGCAAACAAAATTACCTTAATATGTAGATATCCCAACCCTACTTATGAAAAACAGACATAAGGACAGGTGACAGGTAGCAGAAACAACAAGCAGAGTTGTATACGTACCTGATTAATCCAAACTATAAAATTTAACAAGGGAGGGATAAGAACGGGTGGGAAATACTCGCCTCCTGTCATTAATAAAATTAAGATTATAGGTACACTAAAGCTAGCATAATCTACAATTTTATAACATGACAGGAGGCTTCGTATTTGCTGTTTTAACGCTCAGCCAACAAATCCAACGCTGCTTGTTTCGCTGGTACCCATTCCGAGAATATTAGAGCAATCCTAAATGGACCTTCCAACTGCGAGAAGTGACCTCCGTTGATAGATCCATAGTACGTGGGGTTACGACCTGTTCCCTAGCAGTCGGTCCATGAGCTGCCAAATTGACCTATTAGCCATATTCCTGTAGGTGTAAAGTGCCGAGGGGTCGCGAGAAGAGACTTCCACCGTGTCTTGACTCTTGATGTGGGAGGTGATTCCTCCGATCGTGTCAGGTTCACCGGGCGATGTGGCCTTGCAGACAAACTCCAACCTCAGGCCTGCACCTAAGTCCACCGTAAATACTCAAATAGAACCGAATAGTGTCTATTCGTTCCTCTATGACCTACCCGGTGAATTGTCTCCTCTGAAAATAAAGTTATATGCAGATAATAGTGTGGACAATACTAGCCGTATCCACAGAGACTCCAGTCTACCAACTGGACTGAGTAATCCACGGCTGCGGTCTAGAAAAGACATCCAAAGGACGTCCAATCAAGGTCTCAAACTGAACTCGTGTGGTAAACGGTGGTCAACTATTCTGGGAATTGTGAATCCTGGAAAGTTCAAAAGGATGGGACCGGAAACCGGGGTTGAGATTTCCATCCAAATACATCATCCTCTAAGAGTGCTAAGATGGCCGGATCCAATAGAGTTTAGGACCCGTTTAATACAGAAGAGCCCTTACGTGTTGCAGTGAGAGTGTGAAATACTCCGATTACCATTTGTACAATCCTGTTCCATGCCCAACCTGTCAATATTCGTGTAGGGGTTCCTGGCCTACACGCCACCTACAAGATAGGGAATAATATAGTGAGACCCCTAGGTTCCTGTCTCATAGATTGTCCAAGTATGTATCTCCCAGTGTAGGTTTCCTTGATGGTAGTTGAATAGGTTCTCAAATAGGTTTGAGAACCCAAACCAAGATGGTTCCCGTGATGGATATAGAGTCCGAACACTGTTCTCAAGATATGTGTTCAGAGTTGTAGGAGCAGTCCTGCCAACTTTATCTCAAGATTGTAAGGAACAGGGAAGCCAAGTCCTGAGAATTTCGGTTTCTCCATGCGATCCATGCATACGGTGCACCTGAAGACCGTTTTTATGTGAATTTTCTAGTCTTGTTACTCGAGCAAGGCAGTGCCCGTTTGCCCTATGCAAGTCTCAGGATCTCATGTCACCCTGACACGGGAGAATAGTCTGCACAGTTTGTACGCAATGAATATCTGAAACAGAGTGCAATGTCTGTTTGATATAGCACAGGTTATACCAAAACTTGTACACTTGTAAAAACTGAGGCTCCTCCTTAGCCGTACTGTCTCCCGTAATGTGTGTACATAAGTGGGAAACCTCCCCCACTAATACCTCTGAGGGTATTTCTCATGTAGATTACAAGATGGATCCAGTCAAACTATGTATACCTTGCCCGATCAGGTAGCCTTCTAGAACGAAATCAGTAGCGCGGTCATCATATTTAAATTGGATGTAGGAGGGACGCCCCTCTATGCGGTCATAGTTGACCTGTACAGGTACAAGCCTGGAACAAATGGACGGCACCATAGTGCGTTGAGTGTATGAGAGTCGCACTCTGTAAAATGTGATCGCACTCTGTGTCTGCGCACGGTTGGTGGTATGAGCGGGCCGCACCCGTTATAAGTCAAACATAGAGTCTACCTATGTGTCCGGTTCCTTCTATGAGAATGAGTCACTCGGAGCATGTCCTCTATATCCAGCTCAGTATCGGCCGAGGTTGAGGGAGGGCCGCGCCCTCTAATAATGAATCAGTGTCCGACTCGGTAAATGAGAGGGGTTCGCCCTCTACTCTTGAAAATAAAAATATCAGTCTCGGGCCGAGGTGAAGGAGGGCCGCACCCTCTGTAATCCAAACCAGAGTCCAGTAGAGACTCAGGGTGACCAAACGTTGGGTTACACCCTTATTTAATATAAGCAAAGTATACAACCTCGGGCCATGTCCGACCTTAATAAGAGAAAGGGGTGATGAGAAAAGTACGTTCCGGAGCTGAAGATGGTAACTATCAACAGACCGCCCGGATCCCGTGCGTGCGCCCGGACTCCAGGATGACTGTCGGTAGTCTGAAGAAGCTGGAGACGTTCTCCACAATCCACGAGCGCCCAGGAGGTCAGAGGAGGTCAAGTCAGGCCTCTCGACGACCCGAGCGATAGGACAATAGAAGGCATGAAAACAAAGAAACGGCCAATGAAGTAGAAAATGGAAAATACGTACCTCGGATAGCAGACTGATAAAAACTAATCAAGTGAATCCAGTTGAAAAGGTCAGGAGCTAAACATGACATAGAAAAACACTACCAATACCTAATATGGCGTCTGAGCACTGTTCCCTGCTTGTGCGAAATTCCCCTTGGAGATGTGTCATCGTTGGGTATAACCCGTAGTTGCGTGCCCAGGAATCCTCATAAAAACTTTGCCCTTCAGGGCATGAGGTGTAGGGCCTTCACCCCTCCAATCACAGTTAGATGTCCATATCCTGGTGTTCTCTTGGATAATATGGCAGCAGTGCCTGTCCGGACACCCACCTAGAGGGTACTGAGCTTACCTCAGTGATATTCCCCCAGGTTTGTGGTCCAAAGGGGGGTTCGGGCACAGGTAGAGCAGGTCAACGATGGGCCCAGTTAGAGCAGGCCAGACAGAAGGGCACAGATGTAGTCGGTCAATCAAATGGGCACAGACATAGCAGGCCAATCAATGGGGCACAGACATAGCAGGCCAATCGATGGGGCACAGACATAGCAGGCCAATCAATGGGGCACAGACATAGCAGGCCAATCCTGGGTTTCATATTAAATGAGTAATGGGGACCTCTGAGTTTGGTAGAGTCCCCTAAATATCTGTAAATCCTCCGGGTATCCTGTGACCTAGGACCCTTAGACACTAATCTTAGACAGCGTACTACTGTGTGAATAAACCGTAACCGGGACTGGCGGTCCCTAAGTGCCCAGCAGGCAACATAGAGGTAAAACCCGTTGTATTGGGTTTAAACTGGATTTATTCCAGTGATATAGTGTCCATAAAATCAAGCTCTGCTGAGCAATACCTTCTTTAAAGTGCAAATTGTAATGCACATGTACATACAGATCTGTATGAGATATCTTATCTTTATTGTAGGTCATCATCATCATCGTACCGCCTGAAGGGAATCTTCCCAAGAAGCCTGATAAGATAGAATAGTATCGGCATAGACAGGACTGACATCTACCGTCAGTGAAACTCACAGCAATCCG